TAAAACCAGAAGTTAACACAATCCAAGGCAGACAGACCTCTGTTCAGTCCTGCTGCTCACTCATGTAAGGACATTTAAGTAGCTGTGGAGAAGACTGTAGACTGATGGATCTGTCTCCTGTTGAGTACAGAGGCTTTCTATTTGAAGCTAGTGATAGTGGCTACTTCCTTTTGTAAAAGCATACATTCACACTTTTTCCTTATTGTTAAACTTTTACGTGTTGTGGCATTGCTGTAGAAGATAGCAAAGGTTGAGCTATACAGTGCTGCAGCCACAAACCATGTCTGCTTGATTCTCCTCCCATCCAGAGTTCTGTAGCACCCTCAAGGTAAGTGTTGGACCAGACTTGACTTGCTTTAAAAACATCTTGTTCAGTTCCAAATAGGTTTTTTTGTTGCTGTTACTGGAATACCCCTGATACTGCATCCCAAGAACCTTCTGCTATGCCTCTTCAAGGACAAAGGAGCTAATTCTTTCAATGTATGTTCAGACTGGCAAGTTTTCAGCTTCCCCTGGTGATTTCATTCCACAAAAAAACAAAAAAGGGGGCGGGGGGGGGGCTACTCAGAGTGGGGAACAATATTGATTTCTTGTCCAAAACAATCACTCTAATCACTGAGTTTAAGAGACCAAAGAATATTTGACATATTAATATTTGAGATATTAATTTTACAAACATAAACAGAGAAGTACTGTTCATTGTTATGTCTAGAAATATATTGTGCTTGGGTTTTTCTCATGGTAGATTTGGTGTAGTTATTCTGAGATTTCCTTCCTCTCTTTCCATCTAGTCTTGAAGTTTATTTACATAGCCGTTCTTTCTTCAATAATTCAAGGTGCTGTTGACTGTAGAGAGACAGAAACTCTTCCTTTTTCCTTCATTTCTCCTGACTTTTGTTTCTCCTTGCCATCTCCTTGCCATCATTTTGCATGAATATTGTGTCTTCTAAAATCTACGAGAAAAAATAAAAAGAAAAAAAAAAAGAAAAAAAAAAGAAAGAAAGAAAAGAATTGCTCTTCTTTTTTGTCTCTTATTGCTGGAACATTTCCTGATATTTCAAATTTGATGAAGTATTTTCTAATTACTTTCAGCATGGAATGTCTTATATTTCCTCTATTTCTCTGTTCTTCATGCTTCCTTTACTGTTCATTTCCTTTACTACTTTCCTCCACCTATTCTTTTTTCTATTTACCATACTTATACTTCTAAATTCCCATATTTCCTTCTTTTGTTTAAATTGTTCTCTAATGTTTTGGGGAGCTGTTTTCCCACTATGAATCCTTTCTTTGCTGTCACATTCAGAGTTAGATCAGACTGAATTTAAAGTGGCAAGGGCAATCGTAGACATTTTAAGGTTCTGCCTGCTGAAACAGCATTTCATCCTCACCACATCACTTCTAATTTCTTTCACACCAGTTTATGTATTGTGTTTGTTTGTTTTCTTTATGTCTTTATTAGCATTTTGGTCTTTTCTTGTCCACTTCTTATGCATTACCATTTATTTTGATTGGTAGCTGGTTGGGTATTCTTAATTTCCCTTTTGTAAGTTCTCTCCCTTTCTCTTTAGTTTTTGCTTAGAGCACACAGTTAGAGTGCCAAATTATCTCCACACTGACCAGAACAAAAGGAGTGCAGCTAGATTGTGAAAGAATAATGGTGCCTCTGGCAGGTTCTCTACTACGTCATGATGTGACACTGTCCCCAGATAAGGACTGTTCCAAAGTACTCTCATTTTCTAATATGTATGTGTGCTGTTCTGCTTTTCTACCTGCTTTAAAGTAAAAGCCTTCCTTTAACAAACTTAATACCTGATCAGGCTCTCTGCAGGCTGGAGAGATGGTTTATGGATGTTTTCAAAACTGAGCACTGCTAATTGGCAGAATCAGTTTGGCCAATTTGCCTTCTGTAAAGGTACTCAACTCTTCCCCTACCTTCTCCACAGTGTGGCTTCCCCAAGCCTTGGTTCCAGGTACTGTGCAGCCATGAAACTCAAGCTGTAATTTGGGCAGAAGGAAAATATAAAGCTGTAAGCATTAAAATAGATCTTCTGCTATGGAATTGTAACCATTGCCACTAAGGGATATTATGATGTATTATATATATTTTAGTAGTATTTTCTACTTTTTAAAAGCAATGCAAGCAGTGGAAACAAAAGAGCTGCTATGTTTCGTATTTTAAAAACACGTAAAGCCAGCTTATAAAGCCTCTCAAACTGAAATTTTTATCTACATTATTTTATGTAAATATCTGTGTTTTAAAAATGTGTTATTTATATAATAGATCAATAACTCTTTAAGCCTCTGACAATACTGGACTTCTGTGAAGTCAACAGAAGCGTAGTTTAGAAAGTATATGCTATTTGAAGATGCAAACCTTTATATATGCCATAGATAAATGTATTTATGCTATAGTATGTGATAGGATAGATCTGTACAAGGGCTGCTCTAAGAACAATGCCTGTTGTACTATAGTGGCCCATTATATTGTAGGTAGATGATGGTGATATGGTAGTAGAGGTTGAATCTTCCCACCGATATCCCATTACTTGTTGCAGTGTGACAGATGGCAGCAGAGGGGAGGTCAGACAAAGTGGTGTCTGACATGAATGTGTGTACGAAGTAAAGATATGCTGCTGAATTCTCCCACGTGAAAAAAAAAAAAAAAAAAAAAATGCACCCATGGATATTCACTGGCACTTTCTGAATGTTCATGGAGACCAAACAGTGGATATGACTACAGTGTGGCTGTGGAGAGAGTGACATGATAGACAAGGCTAGATGGTCATTCACAGCTGTTACTCCATGAGAAGACAGGCATCTCAATCAGCTAATTTGTGTGAATTGGTGGATTTCAGCCAGGGAACTGTGTGTAGAGCTGAATATCAACTTCATTATATTGGAAATGATGGTTGCAGCATTGGAATACTGCAAAGTTTGCAGCAGATGGGTCCCATGAATTCTCATGCAGGAGCTGAAAGAACACTGTGCAAGTTTATCAGGACCTATTGAACAAATACAAGGCTGAAGTTCACAGTTTCATGGATCACGTCATTACCATTGATGAGATGTGGTGTCACCATTATGAGCCAGAGTCAAAACAGCAGTCCGTAGAGTAGTGACATGTGAATTCCCCATACTATAAAAAATTCCATATGAAGCCCTCAGAGGGTAAAGCAACGTACACTGGCTTTTGGGATAGGAAAGGAGTGATTCTTTTAGATTTCTTGAAACCTGGACAAGCCATCAGCTCTGACTGCTGCACTGTGACAATGACTATAAGCTGATGGCTCGAATTTCCAGAATCAGGCCAGAGAAGAAGACAGCCTTTCTCCTGCAATGTGGTAGCACCATACCCCCTACCAGTTTGAAAATTGTGGAGCACACCGCCAATCTGGGCTGGACTGTCCTGCCCCACCCACTGTATTTCTGGATTTCACGCCTTCTGACTTCCATCTGTTTGGGCGCACGAAAGATGAACTGTGTGGCAACATTTTCCCATTAATGGTGCCATCACAGCAACTGTGAAACAATGGATTACCTCTGCTGGTATAGATATTTACAAGCTCAGCATTCAGCAACAAGTTCCTCTTGGTTGGTCCTCTTGAAATCACACAGCTAATGGTGGTGACTGTGTCAAAAAATAGTGTTGTGTAGCTGAGAATTACCTTCAGAGAAACCTCATATCTAAGGATATATACAAGTTTTGATGGCTTTTATTATTTATTCAAAAGAATGTAACTGATCTGGAGAAGCCATTATAGTCAGTTATGCATATCTGAACTTATACAGTTACTGAAAAGGGAATTTCCTGATATAATATATGATGTCATTAATTTCTGAGACACAAAGCCTTTGCATTGTCCTTAGCAAATCACTGAAGCAGTCTTCTGCTCTCAACCAGTCTCCACGGTGCAAATATGTCTTACTATATGAAGTATTTTTAAAAGTACAGGAGAGAAAAATTTCCATGAAGCATCAAATTTTATTACTGTCAACATCATAACTGCTTTTTGATTAGCAGCTTCTTAAGTTATTTTTTAAAAACTTTTCCTTAGGAAATATAATAATGGTTTGGGGTTGAGCTAAAATAAAATTGCATAAAGAGTTCATTTTTGTTGATTTCACACTGATAAATTGTGTAGCTTTTTTCCATAATGAGGAAGATTTGGCTTTTTTTTTTTTTTAATTTAATTAAAAGAAATATGAGAAGTGAATTATCTTTACTATATTAAATGATTTTGCAATACTGTCTTTCTAACCCCAATACCTGAGAATCAGGTCCAATTCCTATTGATGACCTCAAAGCTGCCACCATTGTAAAAGTTTGTTCTTCAGTAAAGCTTTAATCCTGCATGATTCCCTTAAATTATGAGCTCTAAGGACACTGATGACAGTTGCTGTTTTTAATCTTCACATGTGGCTAATAGGATACTTTTTTCTACTGCAATCTTTCTTTTTAGCTTCTTTTTTAATAGTTTTATTTTCTCTGAATATAAGGGTTCAGATATCATTGATACAAGCACTAAAGTATGTATCTTCATTCAGCCATGCAAGGTTTCTTCTAAAATTGGAGTTTCTACAACAAACTTTGAAACGAATTCTTTGACTTGTACTGGATCTAGCTATGATATAGTCAACATTCTCCTTATTAGCTCATAAAGTACTGTGTTTTGGATCTATGTGGCTAAAACTATGTTGATTACACACCAGTGACCCCCCATCAATATATGAGGTGTCAACCCGCTGCAGCCAACAGAGTTAAACTGTGGTGAAGAAGTCCATCTGTCTTAGTCAAAAGTGAAAATCTGTTGCTCCAGAGTAATAAATGGTGTGTGACTTGAGTGCTGCTGATAGTGTATGTCAGATATTAAATATGCTTAAGGAACCTGTGTTGTACAGCTTTCTCCTAGTACAGGTGGTTATGATACAGCCTTGATATACTTGTTGTAAAGAACTGAATGATTTACTATTTAATATCAGCTTTTTATTTTTGTTTTTAGCCCCTTGTGAAGCCAACACTTTCTTTTGCCACAGTAATATGTGTATTAATAATACATTGGTCTGCAATGGACTCCAGAACTGTGTGTATCCTTGGGATGAAAACCACTGCAAAGGTAATGTGTAGAATTGAAACCGTCAGTTTATCAGACACATGGAATACAGCATGTTCTCCTTAGTTTCTTGTTAAGTATGTATCAGGTTGATCTAGGCTCATGAAATGTAATTCAAGGGTAGCATGCATCAGACAACAGATTAAAATGCAGAGCTGAAAATCTTCGTGGATTTTGCTTTCAGTGTTTGCATTTGTTTTGTTTGGTGCTTGTTTGTGTTTGTTATATCCTTCTGGCAGGCTTTATGACCATTTGGTTTCTGTACAATATAAAAGTTAATTAATAGTAATCTTTTGGTTCCTTTGGTATAGTTGCCTATGCAGTGGAGTAGCATATGCATAAGCAGGTGTCTGCTAGCTGCATGTCATGCCAACAATAGCCCAGGTGGGCTAAAAGCAAACAACATAGCTGAACTGAAATTAGCAGCATTAAAAAGCATCCAGATCCATTTATCATTGCCTAGTGAAATTGAAGTGCAAGGATAAGCACAGGCATCATGTCTGTTTCATAGGCAGGAACTGATATTCCCAATCAGGTGTTGACAAAGTTTCTAAATATTGCTCTATATCTCCATAGAAGCCAGCATCTGTGTTGTCTTCATAAGAAAGAGCTTAACTAACTTGCATTGTAGCTCCAGGATATGGTCTGCTGCTTCTTTTTTTTTTTCCCTCCTCTGCTACAGCAGATTTGTTCCTTAAAACATGAGTAATGCCAAATTTAGGAACCAGTCAAGAAAAAATTCAGAATTACTGGGATTAGCCATCAGCTTGTGAGTCTGCTGAAGTCTGTAAAAGCCTGACAAGCAGTGCAGCAGGATAAAAAATAAATGAAATCATGTTTCAAAGGAACACGACAAAATTGTGACATCAAAAAATATTCTTCAAAGAAATAAACAACCAGGGAAGAACTGTGCTTCTTCAGCACAGACAAAAATCGAAAACCTTCCCCTCTCTAATTTCCAGAATGATTTTCATCTTTCACATGCCAAATATTTTTTTTGTTGGGCCCTGTGCTTGTATCCCATCATACCATCATACCATGTTTGATGGTACCTGCAAAAACAACTGTTTGCTGCTCCACTCCTTTTTCTAAATCTGTTCTTTCCCTACAGGCTTTGTCAGTCAGTTAGAGAAACCCCAAATGGATCTATAAGAGTAGGCAATGGGGAGTACTGAAAAGTTCATTTTGCGTATCAAGAAGATTATAAAGAGCTGGATTTTACTATTTGGGGGCCAGTGACTTTCATTTCAAAGGCTTTTTATTATGTTCTTTGGTATGTTTTAAGTTGATAGAAAAATAACACCAGATAGGGTATTGAAACTTAATCACAGTTGTCAATTTTGATGTGCCTGTGAGAAGCTGATGTGACTGCTTTCAGCTCGGCTCTGTCACTGTCTGAGGTGTCATCAGCTGTTTGAAATTAAATAACGGAAGAACATACAGAACACTAGAGTGATTTTTTTTTTCTCTGTATTATTTTATTGCATATTTTTCTTCATTCTCAACACCAAATTTTCTGGCCAGCTTCTTGGCAGACCTTGAGTAAAGCATCATAGCTCTGATCAGCTTTGAGCATTTATACATCTTTTGTAATGTTCTGGAAAGTAATAGGTCACAAACAAAATAAATAACCTGCTCTCTTTTTTTTTTCTTTTTTCTTTTTTTCCCCTTTCTGGAAGCTCAGTTTGAATAGCTCTTCTATTTTCTCCTGACTTAGCTTTTCATTGACTATCAACAGTCCCCAGTTAGCTCATAAATAACAGTAGTTCAAAAAAGTTCCCAATGCAAAGAATTTATTTCTAGAACCTGTAAAGACTTGCTGTTTCATTAATCTTAATGTTCCACCTGCATGTATTTACTGGAAAAAAGAGTAAATAACAGAAATTTTGCATCTGACATGGGGGCTTTAGCAGGTGAATAGAGTTCAGAGGTGGCACTAAATCCATTTATTTCTTATTGTGGTTGCTTTTTCTATTAAACAAGCATATAAATATTTCAGCTAGCTAAGATTATAATATACCCCGAATAAAGCACTAAGTGTGGGGCCAATTGGAGGACCTACGTGTTATTTGTTTGGTTTGCACAAGTACCTGATTTCTTCCTTTTCACTTTTCCCCAGTAAGACCAACTATGTGAACTTAGACATAGTCTAGGCGTGGCTTTGCAGTGATCTGTGAACACATCATGGCTGTTTTTAATCTTGATATGAAATTAATTCTGTGTTTTATTTCTTTTCTTCATTGCACACAGAAAAAAGAAAAGCTAACCTATTGGACCAACTCACCAATACCAGTGGGACTATAATTGGGGTGACCTCTTGCATTGTCATCATCCTCATTGTTATCTCTGTGATAGTACAGATCAAGCAGCCTCGTAAAAAATTTGTCCAAAGGAAAACAGACTTTGATCAAACAGTGTTCCAGGAGGTGTTTGAGCCTCCTCATTATGAGTTATGCACCCTCAGAGGGACAGGGACTACAGCTGACCTTGCTGATGTTGCAGATGACTTTGAAAATTATCATAAACTGCGGAGATCATCTTCAAAATGCATTCATGACCATCACTGTGGATCACAACTGTCTAGCACTAAGGGCAGCCGTAGTAACCTCAGCACAAGAGATGCTTCTGTCTTGACAGAAATACAACCCCAGCCTGTAAAACCCCTCATTCAACCCATGAACAGGAGAAATATCCTTGTCATGAAGCATAGCTACTCACAAGATGCTGCAGATGCGTGTGAGATAGATGAAATTGAAGAGGTACCAACCACAAGCCACAGGCTGTCAAGACATGATAAAGCTGTTCAGCGGTCAGTATCAATAGATTTTTGATGAAGACTGTTGTGTAAGGACTTGATTGCCCAAACATATTCACTTTTTTTTCTTTTTTTTTCCAGTAAAGGCATATTCTTTTATTTCTCTGTTTATTGCTTAAATTTCTGTTTCTTGACAGCACATGCCATTTGTTATCACTCTCTGTCTCTCATCTCTGCTCCAGTTTCATGGAGGCTTCTGCATCTCAGTTTCAGCTTTCAATCCAATATCTTTCTTTCACTGTTTTATTTACATGCCCACATGCATGCACACACAAGCCAACAGAGAACAGGTACATTTTTTAAAAAAACCAAAGATTTTGTCTAATTTTAGCTTTTGAAATAGCCACATGCATATGGTTTCCTTGAAACTGAGGTGGCGTTGAATTTTGTCCACTATTGGTCTAACATTTCTAAATCAACGCAACAACAAAAATACATTTATTCATTATGACACATGACAGAACAAGGAGACGGGCAGTAAGGAAACCCATGAAATAGTATCTTTTATGAAGTGAGTGACAGTATTTGCATAACATTAATGTATGTGTTCCACTATCACAGTGTATTTTTTTTATATAAACATATATTAATTATGAGACAGTGTAGCAAATAGAGAATGCTCATATATTTACATATAAGAATGTAGTTAAAAAAAATCTTTTTAATCAGTGAAAATATCAAGCATGATATTTTTAATAGAAAAGTTAGGTTATTGTATACTGCACTCTAAATGACTGTAAATATAAACTATTAAAAGTTTACAAGTAGAGAAAAAGGGAAAAGAGATATGAACCATTTATTTGGAAAAGCAAACAGAAACTTTTTATAAATATTTGTGTTTTCTCTTGCATGCATTATTTATGCACTTCTTGTGACTGTTTACATGCTCTCCGTATTTTCTTTGCACATTAAGGCATTTCTTTCTCTTAAAAAGAAGTTATCTTAATCTAATTGCATGCCTATGTAAATTACTTCATGAATATTGAACAGCTAATCAATATGTACTCTCTATTAAGTATCTATATGCATATATTTCTTTTTTTCTATGCAAACATTATTATTTTGAATGAAATAGCCATAACATTCCAGGTTCTGCCTCATTGGGTCTCTAAGCAAACATGAGTCTGAGTACAACACAACTAGGGTCTAAGAGACAAACCTGAGGTAAGTAAACATACCTGTACAACAAATGAACCATCTGTTGCTTTTCATTTTATTTGTTATATTGTTGAAATGTCTGTTAGTTCCCAGTTTATACACCACCTCATAGAAATCTTTGCATAGAAAGAGATGTACGTTTGAATACAGAGAAAACTAAACATCAGATAAATGATTAGTTTAGCACTGTGAACTAAAACAATAACTATTAAATTCTTATGATTGATTGTAGAATCAGCTAAGTATAATCTTTCATCTAAATACAACCTGCATTCTAAACACATCATGAAAAGAGATGCTTAGCGTGGCTCCAGTGTTTTATTAATTTTTTGTTTATGAAAATAAAATTTAGAGTCTTGCTATGTGAAACTATGTGAAATTTATCAGTCTAACCCATGCCATGAAGATAGGAAATACTTGTTTTCAGTTTATTTTACTCTTTAATCTTGTTAAGTGTCAGGGGAAAAAATTATGGGAGTGCAGATAAATTTAGAAATTCTTTAGAACTAATGTTAACGTTGGAAATTAAATTTTGTTTCTGAGCCTTTTCCTAGGCATTTAATTTTATGTAATTTCTTATCAACTCTTAATAAACACCACCTCATTTTTGTATATTAAAGTTATAGTTGTTAGTCTGCCAATTTATGTATGTCTATATGTATAGACGTATATATGCATGTACATGTTTACATGTACGTATTTTTACATATTTTAACCTTTTTTTGCTTTCAGAGAAGAAATATTTATAGAGTCATGTGAACTGAATGGAAAAATCTATAGTGAATTACTTCAGCTGTCAGAAAGAGAGAGTGGACATGTTTCTAATTTCATTTCACTGCCTTTATCCAAACCTAAGACATTTCTTACTTCTTTAGCAAAAATCCCCATTGCACAATAATATGTTTCTTTTCTAGTTTGGTTGCCGGCCACCAAGTGCTCCTTAGTTTTTAAATACATTTTAAGATTTGCTGCAAACTTGAAGAAGAAGTTAGCTCCTGGCTGAGACTGTCCCTACTTTATTTTTTTTCTTAGATTTATTTTGTTTGATATATTTCTTTTTGTCTGTTATCTACATGTATGTTGTGTGATATGTGGAAGAAGAGTTACACTGAACTTTTGTTGTATGTACATTGTTTTCATTATATAGAGTTCTTGAGAATAGTGCGCACCTGGGTGATTTTGAACATGCTACAGTGAAATGTGAAACTATGGACCTTGGAAACACCAGCTAGAGGTTTTATGGACTCTCTGACCAGCTATTCTCATATCATGACAAAATTCAGCAAATAGTGTTGAGTAAAATCACTAGATGGCAATAAGACTTTCATCATTATGCTTATCAGTCCTTTCTCTTTTTCTATTTCTCTCTTCTTTTCATTGCAAGTAAAATTCCCAATTTCAGGAACAATTTATTAAAATCAGGTATTTAGCAGCTCATCTTCAATAGAAATGTTTGTTGGATAAGCATCTAGCAATATGGCTGAATTTGACATTGAGAAAATAATCTGCATGTATGTTACTGAATATTTGAGTTGGCAAAAATCTCTTTATTAGACACATTGTAAAAAGCATGCATTCACAACTGTTGCTGTTACTGTTCCATTTCTGTGTCATATGCTTGCTACTTGTAACTTTTTATATAAAGATACATAAAAAAATGTATAATAATTTCCTACCTTGAGTTTAATGGCAATTTTTTTTTTTTTTTTTTCTAAATTTACAAATCTTTTAGCATTCACGAGTTTAAACTGTTTAAACTCAAAGCTAGCTCTTAAGAACATGAAACCCCAATACATCAGAATCAGCTGCCTCTCATCCCTTATTTATTTTGCATCAGCCTCTTCAGATTTGAGCATTCAGAATACACAACAGTGAAAAGGTTTGTGACAACATTTTGTTGTCACAGTTCTGCACTCTTAACTAATTTATTTTTCCGGCTGTTAATGGGGAGTTTGCTTCAGTGCAGCATAGCAGGTGATTTTTACCAGTTATGCAAATATTATGGCTGCACTTCAATTTTAGAGATGCATACATACGCTACATTCTCATACAAGACAAAGTGATATCTGTAATTCAAGCCATAAACAGTAATAACCAACATTGAAAGCAAACTTTTGATGCTAATTGATTAATGAAATATCGTAGGTTGAAAATTCAAAATTAGGTACACTTGAAAAAAAAATTATCGGTTTAAGAACTCAATAACCTTGCATAAAATCATAGTATCAATTAGTTACCTTCTAAATTCTGTCTAAAAAGAAATCTCATTTCTTTCTTAAACATTCTGTCATTCATAGTGGTTTGCTAGGTTTAATACTACTGTTATGTATTTCTGATAAATATTTCTATTGGGTTTTATTTTATTTTTAACTGGGAAGAATTCCTTGGGTCTTCCCAAAGTGTAAAAGGATGGGGAAAAAGAATACCTGAGGCTGAAAAAAAAAAAAAAAAAGAAAGAAGGAAAAAAAAAGAAGTATTTTATCATCTATTTATATATATGCTACATACTTTACATAACAGCCAACATAGAAAATTTGTTTTCTTCGAAACAGATTATTTTCTACAGATACATTTTAGGAATTACATGTGATGAAGAAGATTTCCTATATTTTCATGTATATTCAGCATATTATACAGAATCTAAGTTTAGCCTGATTTATGAAAAATACTCCCTCTCCACTCACTGATTGTCACTGAGCCATCTGTAAGTGACATAGATCCTGAGCATGTGTTAATAGTATGTTTTGAGTATCCATTTCGAACTTCTTACACTTTGGTTTTTTATTTCTTTTTTCCTAATCTTCCAAACTCTATTTCATGATAATGTTTTTTGTCAGCTCTGTGCTTAAAATGGATGCAACTATGCATCCATAGAAGTAGGAAAGACTTGCTGAAAAAATGTATATACATGCACACACATTTTTGTATATTTATAAATATTTGCTAATCTGACACTGTATAAATAAATATATAAGGAGAAATCTAAATATGTGAATTTAGCTTTGAATTATATCTGCCACCTAGAAAAATACTGAAGCCTTGGGTTTCAAAGCTGCTATACATTTAAGTGTCTAAATCCCACTGAAGCACAGAGTTGGTCTACTCTCCGCTATGAACACAGGAAAATCCAATTTATGATTTTTTAGTGAAATGCTGACTGAGAGAACATAACTGGAGAAGACATGGGCATTAATGTTTATGTAGCAAGCACATCTCTACTTTCTTAAGGAAAAATTAGTTGCATCAAGGAATATGAATGCAAAATGCTAAAATCTGTGATAATGCAGCAGTTCAAGCAAAACAGTCAAATTATACAGAGGAAACAGTCAAATTATAAAATTATTGACTAAAGAAATAAACAATTTCAAACCCAGTTTAAATATTTAAATAGGAAGACTAGTTTTGAGAGATTTTATTCTGTGTATAGTCTGTGTAAATAATATCCACTATATTACAAACAATAATGATAGATTTTGTTTGGCGTTACATAACAGTAAGATATCTTAATCTGATATATGAAACTCATCACATTAAAACAACGGGGATTGTTGCTGAAAATATACAGTTTGCCTTTCCTATAAGCATTTTTTACTATAGCGAAGCCAGTTCTTTCAAAAGCAGAAAGCAGTTCAAGATTTTCAATTTCAAATAAAATGAATCTCACAACTGGTATTCAAACACAGATTACAAGAAAAGTTTTACCAGCTCCATACCTTCTTCATTCTATGGAAAGGTTTATTTTATTGAATTAACATAATTAATGTGCTTTGTCTGACAATTCAGTTAACTAGTAAACTTAATAAAAAACTGAGGATTAGATGAGTTGGGAATTATAGCTTCATGCATTTGACCTCATGCTTGCCTAATGCTAAAACCGAGACCAAAAGTCACTAGAACATTTTGATTTGACTGGTGGATGCAATGTGTGTGATGTATAGCCATGCTCACAGTATGCTCATTTCTTACATATTTGTTTTAAAGATGAGTTTTTGTAATCATGGTGCATTGCCACATTACTTTTATCTTTTTCTGTTCTGACTTTCCAAGCCTGTAGTGTTATGTATTTACTTTTCTTTTTAGGTAATGTGTGAACTACTCCTACTCATTTTTCTCCAATGCAGGAAATACATTTTTTCAGTCTTCAAATGTTTTTTCTGCATCAATATTAAAAAAAAAAAAAAAAAAAAAAAAAAAAAAAAAAAAAAAAAGGAATATATGAATCTGAGAAGTTTAAGTAGCTTACTCTTCTGCTTCTTTTTTCTGGAGATATTCTCTTGAAGCAAGTAGGTATGATTTCCTTTTGGAAAAGGTTTTCTCCTCAAAAGAGATTACTGGCACCCAACTAAGTCAGAAACAAAGGGAAATAACAGAGCAAGGAATGCAAATGAAGTGTTGTAATTCACAACCAATCACAAATTTGCAGACAACACAGATAAATTGTATTGCCATCCAGTAAATATACTGTCCATGTTCAAATTCAAAAGGGAACTTAATAATACTTAATAATTTTCTTGTCTTCTACTTTCTTTATGTGGAGTCTCCTGGCTACCACAGAGAGGCACTTGAGTTAAGGGAGCAGAGATGAAGACCTAAATGATAAAAAGATGAAAAACTGAACCATTCAAAACTGTTTTAAATATTAAAGTTTCTATCTGATCTTGGAGTCTCTTATCTCCTTACTCCTGACTTAGCATTTGATGTGAAGTTTTTGACTCAGATCTCCTCTTCCTTTTCATCAGTATCATCTCTCTTTACTCTGATGGTCATTTTACCTTTCTCACTATCACTTTTCAATTCTGTCCTCATTTAATTCAGTTTTGATCCCTTCTCTCCTCCAAATTCATAGAAAATGCTGAACTCCTGTTAGCTCATTGGACTTCCACCTGGCTCTTCCCCATTTATCTCATCCAGACCCATCTTAACCTCTTGTCCAGAAGCAGCAAAATGAAAACGTGATCACAGCATATCTTAATTACCATTACTCTGTACAGA